GATTTCTTCGCCATTGGAGCTCGGGAATCAAGCTTGGAGATGGAGATTGAAGATCTAGATCAGATTTCTGCAGTCTCTCTCTTCTCTTTGGAGTAACTTCCCTTCACTTAGGTTTTGAGGAACCCTAGTTCCATGTGTTAGGATCTTTCTTGTATGAAGTTTTGGATGCTATATTGTTTGATTATAATCGATTGAGGCATGATTTATTGAGTCAAATGAATCTTGATCAAATTCTCTTGATTTCTGCTTTAACCTATGATAGATAGAATCTGATTAGGTTAAGAGAGCTTCCTTGATTGATGGTGGTGAATTGGTTATACGAGAGTTATTCAATCTACTGCTTTGTACTGGAATCCAATTCCGGTAGTGGAGTTCTGTGTTCATAGCCTCAGCTTTCTATCCCGGTGAAGGTTAGTCGCCTGCCGGGTAGTTGGACTAAGACGGCTTGGTCAGCTTAAGAGATTCCAAGCTACTGTCGGATCTTCCGCAGTTTAATCAACTGTAGATCAACCAAAGGTAATTGCAACTTGGAACTAATTGAGGAGGTAGGGGGAATCATACCTAAGTGAGTTCACAACTTGTAATTAGTAGAGTAGTCAGTAGAGTAGTTTATAAATCAATCCTTAATCTAGTTTGCTAGATAATGAACTGAAGCTGAGTAATAGTAACTCTAAAGACCCGTGGATTTGATATTTATTACTTGTGCCACTATACTGCAGTCCCTTTCATTTGTTACACTTGGCCATTGTTAGGTGTTGTGTTTTAGCGTGTCAGAAGGTGATCTCTTATGTGGGTTTGTCACGAAGCAAGTTGCTACGTTTGAATTTGTCCAAGACACAGAAGGTGTTGCCGCAAACAATGGCATGGCAGAGACTTTGCCACCGTCACCACAAAGTGTTCATTTAACCACTAACATCATGCTACTTCACCAGATGCTGGAGGAAAACCACAAGATGATGGCTGCAAACCATAATGCCTTGGAGGGAAACCACCAAGTGATGAAGGAAAACCATCAGATAATATCTCAAATTGATTGTTTTTATTTAAGTTTGGATAGGCCCGTGGATCAGATTATGGAGATAAATAAAAAAGATTTAAGTGATTTTGGGAAATCAATGGTTTTGCTGCAAAATGGTGTAGACTCAATACCTAATAATACTATTGTGTGCAAAAATCTCTCTCCCTCCGGTAGCCGGAATACCCAGCCACGACAAGGAAACTTGTTTTCCTAGTGGCAACTAACCCCCCCCCCCCCCCTCTCGATGTGAGAGTTGCGGTGAGAACACCACCTCCACTTTGAACAACAATGATGGGGTCTTGCATGTAATTGGTGATATTCAACCACTAGTCATCGAGACAAGATCAGATGAGACACCTACCAATGCACGAGATGGTGAAGATCCATTCAACGTGGACCAAGTACCACCACGTGCTTGCTCACCCCCAAAGCCACCCCTATTGAGTAGGCAAAGAGGCGATTCTGATGGACTCAAAACACCTAGAGCTCAGCAAGGGGGGGGGGGGCATGCAAGTCTAACTTCCTACAAGCTGAAGTCGAGATGTCTGTTTGGGGGGCATATGGTGTCTAAGAGACCATATCAAACACAAGCAACACATTTTTGTGCTAAGCATACTAATTTGGATAAGTCTAGAAATGGGGGCATATCTAACAAGCCACGATGTGAGAAAGCCATAAAAATTTATTACAGATTGATCACGTGAATCCGTGCAGGTTATTGTCAGAGGTTAGCACGTATCAACAACTATCCCATCCTAGGCCAAGTTTAACCTAGAACGATATTGCCATATAATGGTAATCAAGGTCATATTCTACTCGGGTCCTAGTACCCTAGCCTACTTCCCACCTAGTTGATAATTAGTTAATTGGTTTTTGAGCTTTTGAGTGCAGGATATGTGGAAACACTAGTCTAGAGATTCATCAAAGCTAAAAGCACTTCGGGGAACTATCCCTTCCCCTAGCTTAGGGTTACTATGTATATCTAGATACTTAGGTTCATCGAATGTGGTGAGTGAGCTCTTTTTCGTGGGCTTTCATGGTTATCCACAGGCCTCCGAGTACGCCTCCCCTAAACCCATGTTCCAGTCACCTCGATCTAGGCTATCGTATATGGGGCATTAAGCTTATGGCTTATTTCAATGGACACTATCCATCGTCCACACCGAGGTTTCATCCCGGGTTTCATCTAGGAAGGCTAGCTATAGCAGGGGTTCGGTCGCCTCGGTCACTAAAGGCCCCCATTCACACATCTAACCTAAACTCACTAGATGGTGCATACCTGTCTAACCCTAGAACTCCATACCCAACGCGATATCATAAAGTAGGCTAAAGGGGAAGATTAGGGCGACTTACCCAAGCGTCGTCATTTTGGAAAAAGTGGCATTAAAATCAACTAGACAAACACATTCATTCATTCAAACTCTAAAATATCCATACATACATAGTAAACTCTAAAACTAGGGTTTGGGGTTTAGAACCCTTAGTACCTTAGAGGACTACTGATGACTTGATATACACATGTTTTTGTCCACCATTCCTCTACCGTTTAAGTCTCATCTCTCGTGTTTTAGGCCGATTTCAAGCTAGGTTGTTCGTATTTGTGATATTTCAGGTCCTAGTACGTGAAGGAAGGTTCGGGCACGAGTTCGGGGTCGATTGGACGAAGTTGGAACGATTGACAGGAAGCGGAGAAACCACACTACCAGACCTAAAAACCACACGGTCGTGTGACGTGGCCGTGTGGAACCCCTTTTGCACGGGAAAACCACACTGGCCGTGTAAAGGACCCATTATGGTCATGTGAAAATCCCAGAGACCTTCACACGGGCAGGCTGAGATTTCACACGGCCGTGCTGTTCTGGCCGTGTAACGTGGATGAAGGCACATAAGTGAAACGTGGCGTTTTACACCTCCACACGGGCAGTTGGGAATTCTACACGGTCGTGTGGCCTGGCCGTGTAGTCGCAGAATTCTGGGTTTTAACCCAATTTTGGGTCTTTTGAGGGGGGATATCGATTTTCAGAGCTAGAAACAGAGTCCTAGAGAGAGAAAGTGCGAAGAACACACCCTAGAGGTGATTTTGGAGCTGGGTTTCATTAATAAAGCTTCGATTTCATCGTTGGAGTGAAGATTATCATCCCAGAGCAGATTCTTCCCACCTTGATGAGTATGACTGCTTTGTTTTCTATTTACCTCTCTCTCTATGGAGTAGAATCCTCTCTCACTTGGGTATGAAGAACCCTAGTTCCATGTGTTAGGGATATCGATTGTAATGACATTTGGATTGTGTACTGCTTGATTATAATTGATTAAAGTGTTTTGATTGAGTCAATTGAAGCCTGATAATCTTTTATTGATTTCTGCTGCAACCTGAGATAGATAGAATTCGATTAGGTTGTTAGAGCCTCTTCAATCGGTAGTAGTGAATCAATTATACGAGAGTTAGTCGATTCATTGTTTTGTACTGGAATCCAATTCCAGTAGTGGAGTTCTATGTTAATTGCCTTAGCAGTCTATTCCGGTGAAGGCTAGTCGCCTGCCGGGTATTCTGTCTAAGAGGGCTTGGTCAGCTTAAGAGATTCCAAGCTAATTTAGGATCTTCCACAATTTAATCAACAATGAATCAACTAGAGGGAACTAAAACTTTGACCTAACTAAGGATCTAGGGGGACTCATTCCTGAGTGACTCTTCCCCTGCTTAAGAACTTCGAACCATTTCCTGCTTTCTTACTGCTTTAGCTAAAACCACATTCAATCAACTTAGTTTGCTAGATAATAAATCATCACGGAGTAGGCAGTAGATCTATACCCCGGGTTGATAAATAGAACTTGACACTATTCTGCATTTCTGGACTGCGATTACACTTGGTCGCAGTTTGGTGTTGTGTTTTAGCGTGTCAACTACTCCATAAAGGAGGGGGAAAGATACATGGTAGAAATAGAAGAAGACTTAGGGTTGGATAAGATGCCTCCTTGCTCCTAACTCCTCCTTCCTTCAGCTTCTCTCTCTTTTCTCTCCCTAAAACCAGAAAATTCTCTCAAAATCAGCTCTCTTCAAAAGGGGATATGGGTCTTGTATTTATAGGCATTCTTGATTCAGGAAAGTTCGCGGCCCGTGGTAAGGAAATCGCGGGCAAGATCTTTGGTCTCTGGGCCGTGATCTCAAAACGCAGTCATCGTGGCCTTTAGGGAGAGGAAGATCACTGGCTGACTTTGCGGTCGCGATCCACTAGTCCTGGTCGCGATCTTCCTCGCGGGCAAGATGAACGTTGGATGTGACTTGACTGTGGAGACTCTCTGTTTCTCCAAGGCTCATTCCTCGCGAAGTTCGCGTCCTGAGCCTACATGATCGCGGTCGCGATCTATAGCTTCTGGGCCGTGATCTTCAGCTGGACTTCGCAGATTGTGATCCTGGTCGTGATCTTTGGCTTCTAGGCCACGATCTTCAATTCCCGCCCCTTCTCTAAACTTGTGACCTTGTTTGTACCTAACTCGCACATATGGACTAATACACCCTAAAATCACATAAAATTTAATAGGAACGCAATAGGGATGTATTTGACGATGTTCAAGAATTTAAGCACATGCATTGGCACAAACCATGCCTCGATATGTAGGGTAAATAACACCAATTTTGCTATTATCAAACTCCCCCACACTTAGGCGTTTGCTTTTCCCCAAGCAAACCTACTCAAACCTTATGCAATATGATAGACAAATCAATGTGGTATGCATGATAGTTCTTCATTGCATAGATGAGAATATGGGGGTGAATAAATGTTACTACCTTCCTACTGTGTGAGCACAAACTCTCGTGTGAGGACCATATCTACAACCTTAGGCCGATCATAAAAATTGTGCACCGTGGGATTCTCAGACAACAAACAACTAGTAGAACTATTGGAGGTGCTTTTATTATTTTCTTTTGATGTCGGAGTTGTCATTTTTCGATCTCCTTTTTCTTCGTTCATGCATATTGCACAAAACTTTTGCAATTTTCTTCACTGCATACTAGCATCTCTCCCTCATGGCCAAGAGTGGATGAATCATAGCCTTCCCTTTCATGGTCACATGTGGGGAAGTTGATGGTCGGATTCATCTTAGCACCAACACCATGTCCCAACCCTCACCTCACATTGGGTTGCCACACATGTCAGGTACAAACGAGAGCTATGAGGTCTCGTGAATCGCTAAAAGGTACCTTCGGTCCTTAACATACAATTCCGTGAGGAGGAGAGGTGTTTGGGGAGCGGTAAATAGTAAGAGATGATCGGGATGCAATAAAGCTATCTGAATTCTTTCCCCGGTTGCCACTCACGTGAGAACCTCTTTTCCTTTTCTTAAGCACAAATAATAAAAGTTCCTAGTTCACACAAAGGTGAGAATCCCGCGCACAATGCCTTCCTAAGGTAGCAAACATTATCGACTCACAAAAGAGCAATGTAATCAAAATCGAGATTTTACCTAAAATCGAAAACTAGAGTAAAATCGGAATCTTAAAATCGACTCATAAAATCGTAGGATTTTAAGTACCATATAGAACATAACATAGAATAATATTAAGAAGGTAAATCATTAATACCACAAATACACATATCATTTAAAATGATAATTCCCAAGATTAATGTTCCAAAATCATCATTTTAATTGTTATTTCATGCCTAACTCAAAATAATTCACGAGAAAGGGAAAGAGGTCATGGGGTTTGGCTCTTGTTTTTACGTTGTGTCTATATAGTTTAACTCAAAGTAATATTCCGACATCGTCTACTAAGCATGATTTAAAACTAAGAACAATTGAACTCCAATAGAATAATTCATGTTAGTGGCTTGGTACAGATATATTTATTATTAAATTAATAATTTAATAACGATGTTAATTCTTACGTACTTCCAATATTATGACAACTATTTTACCGATGAGTTAAAATGGGCAAAGGGAAAGTGATTGACCGAGCTCTAATTTTGTTATTTTTATTTTTTAAAATTTTTTAGTAGGATATATATTTGAGAAGATCCCCATCATTGGCCTTTCCGCCAAAATGGTTATGCTTCTTTTGAATTGGCTCAAACCACCTATTTTGTTCTCATACGATTATAATCCCAATTTTAAACGATTTTAAGGTCCACTGATTTTATAGTAAAATCAGAATCGGAATCCCTAAGTAAAATCCTAAAATCCTACGATTTTATAATCAAATTCCCGATTTTGACTGCATTGTAAAAGAGGAATAAAGTAGTAGAATCCCTCACGTACTGATACTCAAACTATGCAACTATCACCTAAGATGCACCACACATCAATCAATCTAATCAATTCAAAGCACATCGAGTAGGTAATTGCAAGGACAAGGTGTTTTGGAACCCTCAAATTTGAATAAATTTGGGTGTAACATTCATGGTTCCAAACACTAAAATTTCACCACTCATCACCACAACATAAAAACTATTGCCAGCACCACTCCCATAAGTGTTTATCAACGTCTTACATTCACAAACAATAGAGGATACTAACAATCAACGGTTCAACCAATCATGATAGACATTCAAACAAACACAAACATCCCCCACACTTGAGCAACACATTGTCCTCAATATGGGAGTTTCCAAAGAAAAGATCGTGAATGTTACCATAGATCGTGTTGTGGTTTGGTGAAGGTTCACAAGTGTAGTCTTTGTCTTCCTGGTGGTTTTCACAACAATAGAGTGCATAAAATAGAGAGGAAGATGAATAGGAGTTATAGGTACGATATATATAATAATAAGCACTAATACTACTACTAGTGCTAGAGTAATTAAAGTACGAAAAGTAAAAAGAAAATAAAGCAATAATTAAACATAGTTTTAATTTGAAATCAAGAAAAGCTGAGAAAAAGAAAAGATAGAACGTAGGCCCTGGATGCCTAAAACCCATTCCTCATCGGAGGGCCCTTCTTGTTCATCATGTAGGAGTGTTAGAGAGGTGAAGCGCTTGAATGTGCTCGGTACATCATCGATAGGAATGTTCATCTTCTCCATGATCGTGTGCACGGACGCCATGATATGTAGCCGCGCTTCCCTATCCCTCTGTTGGTTGTGAAGGATAGCAGCTATCATCACCTCAATCCTATAATCTCTTGCATTGTTGCTCGGTGGGTGAATCGGCCGAAGAGTGGGAATAGGCGCCTCTCCTCCTTCATGCACACTCTCTTATTGATCTTCCTCGGTTGCCAAACCTCTTCGGCCCCTAGCCATTCTAACTTTCGGAAGACGTAAAATTGTCCCTTCCATCTCCATAGTATTGGTGGTTGGAAATGGGAATCCTTGAACCCCACAAATGCCATCATTGCTCATGTGTAGCATCTTAAACTTTGACTTCAAAACCTCGAAGGACATAAGAGCGGTCCTGCTATCCATTCGAAATTGTACGCCTCCGAAGTCAACTTGGAAATATCTGGCAAGTCGGGTGACAAACACTCCTCTGTGAAGTGCGACAAGTCAGTGATCCGTCTCGTAACGCTTGAATATAGATAAGATAGACAACCCAAGATGAAGAGATCGTGGAAGATGCATGCTATGAAACAAGGTGACGTCTCGAGAAGTTAGGTTTCCCTTGCTCCGGTTCCTTCCTCCAACGGATCTAGCAATCACGTGGTGTATGAGCCGCCACTCCGGCTTCACCTCACTGGCTTTTGATAACTTCACTTCCCATTGTCGACTATCGGGTTTATCGACTTCAGTCTCATAGAATGACTTGAAACAAGGGACGTCGGATTCCCTTGTCAAGGTAGCAAGTCATCAGATGAATCAATGAAACTCGTCGGGTAAATGTCCATCGCTCTAGTGAACTCCCGGATCGACATATGGCGATGCTCTACCCCGAGTTGAAACTGGATGTTATCTTCAAGTTCGGTGGCACCCCTCATATCTTGAATAGTAAGAGTACTGATAAACTCAAGAAGAAGCACCCGATATATATGTTCTTGAATAGAGAGCAACTTGAGTCATACCAACTTCCGTACTTTAGAGCAACTGATTTGGGCGAAAAGGGTCCAATTGAAACAAGAAATTTTGCCTAGAGGTAATCCTTGAAGCCACATAAGCTTGCTCTTGAATTACTCATTTATGTTCCAAAAAGTAGTGAGTGATGTGCTCAACGCCGCCTTCTACAATTGCTTGATCATCTTAATCGAGTATCCTTGATGGATGTTGAAGATGTGAGGTTGGATGAGGCTCTTCTATAAAAATTTCTTTTGATTTGGATTTCCTTGTTTTCTTCTTTTGACTTTGGAGAAGACGAGAGGTGTGAGAGGATGAGCGCTCACCATGGGCCATGCCTTTTTGGTCTTGTATATTATCCTTCAAAGCAAGTGGTACACATTTGCACAAACCATCAATCCAACAATAACATGACAAAAAGGCAACATTCCAATGAACTATCATTAGACCTCTAAATTCTCCCCCCCCCCCCCCCCCCACCACCACACACAGTTAAGTGAGACTAAGAATTTGGCAAGAGAGGGAAATTAAATAGAGGGATAGCTCCAAGATAATGTAATTAAGGATATCACTAAATCAATATAAAAACAATCAATGATCGTCACCCCCCATGCTAGGAAGTTGATATCTAATCAAAAGGGTTGAAAATAATGAACTATATGTTGTTGGGGACTTTCTACGAACACTTGGTGGGTGGTTTTTCAAAATGTCATAAATGCATGGGAACAACCCACTAAGGTTTCTAAAATAACATAGATGGTTCTCTTTACAATCTCATGCCAAAAAGATGTCATTCTAGGTAGAGAATGAGCATTCAAAGTTCCAAGCATTCAACACATGTTGGGCAAGATAAAGTATTAAAAACATAAAATATAGAAAGGTGTACCTTACCCTACTGGGGGACATGTCAGGAATCCAAAAGCAACTAAAAATCATTCTCAAAAGATGCTAGAAATTGAGATTAAAGAAGGTGGGTTGGAAGAGTAAAGAGGGGTGGAGAGTAATGTCATGTAGATCTAGAAAGGAGATCGCTCCTCGGGTGCACGATCTAGCTTTAAATTTATAAACTCGAACCACACTCTCTATTCAATCCTAACTAAGCCAAGTACAACCTAGATAGGGTTGTAGTAAAGTGGCTCGGTCGTATTCGGAGGGATCCCTAAGTGTATTATTACTTTGCTCTGAACTACAATATAATCAGGATGGAAGTTTGGTGAGGGGTTTTAACTAAATTAACCGACTCCTAAGGCAAATTAAACAACCAAACAAGTGGTTGGGAGTACGCTAGAGATAAGATGGTTGCCTAGGGTAGAATCCTCATAGCTAAGGTTGTAAACTAGGGTTAATCAAATGTGGTGAGTGAGCTCTTTTCCGTGGGCCTTCGTCGTTATCCACACGCCTCCAAGTACTCCTCTCCTAAACCCATGTTTCAGTCACCTCAATCTAGGCTATCCTATCTGGGGCTTTAAGCTCATGGCTCATTTCAATGGACACCATTCACCGTCCACACCGAAGTTTCATCCCAGGTTTCATCTAGGAAGGCTACCTATAACAGGGGTTTGGTCGCCTCAACCTCTATAGGCCCCCATTCCCACATCTAACCTAAACTCGCCAGATGGCGCATACCCGTCTAACCCTAGAACTCCTTACCCAGCACAGTTGCATAAATTAGGCTAAGAGGGAAGATTATGGCGACTTACCCAAGCATCATCATTTAGGAAAGATTGGCATTGAGAATCTACTAGACAAACACATTCATTCATTCATTCATAAACCAAATATTCACAACCTATAACAAGGGTTCATCTACCCTAAACAACCATTAGAGATTCAAGTCATTAGAGAGAAGAAGAAAATAAAAACTAGAAGAGGGGAGTGATGTAATCAAGCTCCTTCTCCTTGGGTTGATTTGATCTTCAATGAAGCTCTCCCAAGGTGTTTTTCTCTCTAAATCACTCCAAAACCCTAATTTTCTCACCCCAAGGCAGCTCTCATTTGAAAAGTGTAGCAAGAAGGATATTTATAGAAAGCTGATGGCAGTTAAGGCCTCCAGGGCGTGACCCGATGGTCACGGCCGTGACCAGTTGGAACGTCTCTGAATCGCCCAAAACAATGAAAATGCTTGGGAATAGAAGATAGATAACACCTATTTTAGGTGTTATCAAACTCCCCCACACTTAGGTGTTTGCTTGTCCCCCAACAAACCTACTAAAACCTAATTCAACATAATAGAAAAATCAATGAGGTATGCATTCTAGTTCTTCATTGGTTTGATAAGTGTATATGGGATGAATGAACGCTACTACCTTCCTACTGTGCAAGCACAAACTCTCGTATGAGGACCATATCTACTACCGTTGGCCGATCATTAAAAATGTGCTCTGGGGGTTTCTCAGACAATAGACACCTACTAGAACTATTGGAGGTGCTTTTATTTTTTTCTTTTGATGTAGGATTTGTCATTTTTCGGTCTCCTTTTTCTTCGTTCATGCACATTGCACCGAACCTTTGCAATTTTTTTTCATTGCATAATAGCATCTCTCCCTCATGACTAAGAGCGGATGAATCATAGCCTTCCCTTTCAAGGTCACATGTGGGGAAATTGATGGTCGGATTTGTCTTAGCCCCAGCACCATGTCCCAGGCTCCCAGCCTGCACTCCACATTGGGTTGCCACACATGTCGGGTACAAAAGAGATCTATGAGGTCTCATAAAAAGCTAAAAGGTACCTTTGGTTATTAGCATATGATTCCGTGACGAGGAGAGATGTGTGGGGGATGGTAAGTAGTAAGAGATGATCGGGACACTATAAAGCTATCTGAACCCCAAACAAATCATCGACGGGCAGTCCGAGCCAAGAGAACAATCCTTTGATGGTTGATCTCAATTCTTTGCCCGGTTGCCACTCACTTGAGAGCCTCTTTTTATTTTCTTAAGCAAAAATTGTTAAAGTTCCTAGTTCACATAAAGAAGAGAATTCCGCACACAATGCCTTCCTAAGGTAGCAAACATTATCGACTCACAAAAGAGGAAGAAAGTAGTCGAATCCCTCACGTACCGATACTCAAATTATGAAACTATCACCTGAGATGCACAACACATCAATCATCTAGCAAATCAAATCAAATCATATTGAGTAAGGAGAATGCAAAAGGGGCCAACTTGGAGCCCTCATATTTGAAAAAAATTTGGGCATGCATACAAAGCTCTCCAAGTGGTTAAATTATGCGAACTCATCGTCCACAATCACTCCAAAAACACTCTCTCTCGTGATCAAGCTTTTAAACATTCATGGTGTAAGAGAGTAATCAATAACAACATTCCACACAAGCATTCATGCATAACCCCCCACACTTAAGGAACACATTGTCCTCAATGTGAGAAAGGTAAAAGGATAGGGGAACGAAGTTAGCAAAAGGCTTTATCGAGGTGATTGTGGAATCGAAGGGTAGGGTGGGTGGTTTGATCTCCTCCCAAATTTGAGAAATCGCCTTTTGGACTCCATATCTCAACCTCTAGGTGACACTTTTAGTTGTTGTTGGTGCTCTTGCACATGGTATAGCAACACTTACAACCCGGGGTGGCGAAATCATCCGAATTTCTCTTGGTCTTTTCCAACCAATCCAAGACCCCCCAGTTTCCAAGGACCAACGGGAAATTATCAACCAAGGCCTACTTTCATTCAACAAAGGCCGCAATTCCAAGGCTCTAACTTCCAACAACTGTTTCAAGATCAAAGAGGTCAATGATTCCAACAACCCGATAAGTTTGCAAATTGAAGACCTTGTGACCACTTTTGTGAGCGCGAGCACTCAAAAGTTTGAGAAGATTGATCAATTTATGGATGTGGCAACAAAAAAGTTTAGCTCGGTTGAGGCGCGATTAAGGAGCCATTAAGCAAGCCTTCAAAACTTGGAGGTGAAAATTGGAACTCTTGTCGGGATCCTCACCGAGAGGCCAAGGGGATCTTTAACCCTCTCAAACCATTGTCAACCCCAAAGATCAAAATGTTGGGTGCAATGCTATTCTTAAGAGAAGTGGGAAGGTTACCCCAAAGGTTGTTTCTAAGGAGGTGAATGAAGAAGAGAAGGCCCCTCCAACGGCCAATGATCCCGAAGAAGTGGGAGAAACGGAAGAAGAGCCTAAGAAGGCATTGCTGACGCCACCCCAAGTGGCTGAGTAAAAGCCTCCTCTTCCTTTCCCCACAAGGATACACAAGGATCGATTGGAGGCGGAGTTTGGAGGATTCATGGAGATGCTCAGGAAGCTCCGCAACACCATTCTAATATTGGAGGCCATGGTGCACATGCCGACGTACGCCAAATAACTCAAGGCGATTCTTGCAAAGAAGCCGAAATATGAAGACCTCGCCAATGTCACCTTAGGCGAGGAGTGATCCGCCTTTATCCTCAACAAGTTGCCTAAAAAGCAACCGGATCTAGCTAGTTTCACTATACGTCTTTGCATGCGATCATCATATAGAAAACTCCTTGGCGGACTTAGGAGCAAATATTAATGTGATGCCTTTCAAGCTTTTTAAGAAGTTGCATTTGTGTGAATGGAGGCCCAATAGGCTTAGTGTCACATTGGTCGATCGATCTGTCATTAGTCATATGGGTATTGTGGAGGACGTCCTAGTGAGAGCTGGCAATTTCTATTATCCGACGGATTTTGTCATCCTTGATATCACTGATGATGCGGATATGCCACTTATACAAGGACGCCCCTTCCTTGCCACCGTCAAGGCCTTAATTGATGTTAATGAGGGAACTTTGGTGTTGAGAGACGGAGAGGAGAAACTTTCTCTTTCAATTGATCCTAAGATTAAGAATGATGTTGTGAAAGAAATGGACTCGAGTGGCATGAAGGGAAGTGGAGGTGAGCCTCTCAAGGAAAACCCCACTAGTGTGTGTGGTCCATTTGATGATGAGGTGCATGAAACCAAGGTGGGTACTAATCCCGGAGGAAAGAAGAAGAGAGCGTGGAGGGATAGGCTTCACCAAGCCTCCTCCCAACTAAAAGACGAGGGTAAGGCGAAAGTGCCGGGCTAAGAGGGCCATCCTAAGGAGCTAAAGGTAGGAGGTGACAAGCCTCGCACCAATACCGTGGCGGATCCACTCTCGGTGGCTTCATGCCCTCAAGCATGATAGATCCACAACGTCGAGCTAGTGACATTAAACTAGCGCTTGTTGGGAGGCAACCCAATGACGGTTTGTTTTCTTTTCCTTATTTTTCTCTTTTTGTGTGTGTGTGAAGAGTTCACGTGTTAGATTGGGGTATCACTATGCCAAATCTATGTGGTTTTGTGTTTCGGGATGTGGTGTAATCGAATTAGGGGCACGATGGAGTAGATTGAGAGTGCCATGTTTTTCACTCAGATCACGGTTTGTGCTTCCAGTTCACGGTCTTAGTGATCGTGAAGTGGTGCCTCCGTCCATGAATTGAGGGTGCTCCCCCTGTTTTCAAAACTCATCATTTAACCCTAGTTCACGGGTAGAGAGTTATGTTCACGGTCTTAATGACCGTGAATTGGCTCCTCCGTCTGTGAACTAAGGGTTCTGCCTATAAAAGGGGCGTAAACAGCTCAGATCACTTCACGACCGCCCCTTTCGCCAGAAATTCTCAAATCTCATCAGAAAACCGCGATTTTCCATTGATTTCGGCGACCTCCGGCCACCCAAACCCAAAACAAATTATAGACCCACTCTCCTCCACGTAGGCGCACCTTGTCTTAGTTTTGGGGAGATTTTGGCTTAGTTTTTTTTCTCCGATGAGGCTCTGGCGACCCCTCTCCGGCCAGTTTTAAGTGCATTTTTCGGCTCCCTCTCCCTCTCCTCACTTCCACCTCAACCCTACTTGAGTCTCCCGGTTTGTTTTCAACTTTTTCCTTATCATTTGTTGGAGAATCGGATTAGGGTGTGAAGTGAGGTGATTTTTTGTGAATTGATGCTTGAATGTAGAAATTAGGGCAAGGGATTAGCCGATTAATGTGAATGAATGATGTTTGATGATGCATGAGCTTAATTGACCCTTAGTGAGCATGAATTTCGGTACAACGCCGTGAAACCGAGTTCCACTACCAGGCAGCCATCCACGCCATATGCCGCCCTGAGCATTGGGAGGACGAGTTTAAGGGCTCTAGCACCAACGCCGTGAAACTCAGGACGCCCTGGAGAATACTGCACACCCTCCTCACGAAGTCCATCATCCCCAGCCTGCTAACAGAACACTTAATCACGAACAGAGGGTTGATAGCGCTCCATTCCCTGAACCGACCGGCAGATCCGCTCCACCTAGGAGCGTGGTTGCTACCACCTTTGCTCGATGCCAGGGCCGGGACCGAGTGGACACGATGCATTTGGGGGGAATCATCACTAGGCTGGCCTGACACTTCATGGTTGATATGGGCCGATATTCTATCATCGGTCGGATGGAGTAGTTTCTGGTGGAGACCCTATCTAACATGAAGTTGGTGCTTCAAGGGGAGAGAGGAATTGAGTTCCTCGAGGGGCTCTGACCCTCAATAGCTCTACGACCCTAGGTTGACCTTACACCAGTGCAGCCTGATCCAGAGGTACCTCCCCCGGAGCAGCCCCCGTCCAGAGCTCCCGGCCACCGCTGGCGCACCATACCACCACCATCATCAGCTGCATCATCATCATCCGAGGACAACCCCTCTACCTTCGTACCCCACCTCGAGGAGAGAGTAGATTGTCTCGAGGCACATTATGTGGGAGTCACTACTCGGCTCGACCGAAATGCCAATCTCATAGAACGGATGGCTCCACGCCAAGGTGTCCTTTCGGACGACGAGGAGTGATCTTGCCAACAACGAGGTAGTCATCGAGGGAGACATGTGGCAGAGCCGATTTCTTTCATCCCACTTCTCCACTTGAAAACTCTGAACTCTTTTTATTTTATTTTTATTTTCTCCTTAATTAGTGTGTGAACTAGTACTTTGTGAGTTCTTTATTTTGAATCGTATTGTGAAACTTTGTTATGTGTAATAACCTCGCCTCGAGCGAAAATGTGCGTGTGTTTTGGTTAGCTTTTCCTTTGAAGCTCAAACATCCTAACCAGGGAATTTCTACAACTTTCATTCACCAAGCCATGCCGTAACATCATTCTACACCCATATTTTGCGCCATTGAGGGCAATGTCGAGCTTAGGTGGGGGGGGGGGGGTAGTATATTATTAAGCTTGTGTGTGTGAGTGAATTCTTGGAGTCTTGATGTATGCCCGAATTAAAATAATTGAGGGATCCAAGCATTGCATGATGAAAATGGGCGGTGGGTGGGTGAATCTCGTCCTTATTTGGCAGTGATCTTGAATTGTTGCATGTAATCGAGTGCATCCTATTATGATGCCTTATAATGCATTAGGGTTGTGCAAAAGCTTAGTTCTCATGTGTGCTCAAATGAATGGATGTCTTGACTTGGTTACTTGATTACAATTGCCATGCATTAGAGTTTTTGAAATTGGAATAAATGATTGGGCGACTAGGTAGCCATGTGAGTTTTGCGCCGATCGTCTTTTTCATGTGTGATAGATCCCTTTCGCCATGGTGTATAACATTCACCGTTGTCACTAATGAGAATGATGGAGGCATATTTGATTAGTCCACGCCCAAAAGTTGATTGTCCTAGAACATTTTATCCCCTAGTCAACCCCTTTGAGCCATGTGACTTTGGGGGTCGCTATAATGCTAGGAGCTTCATGCTTATGGTGATCGAAAGAACGAACCCAACCCATCCTTTCTTCGTGTCGAAGTGTGAGTCATTCTTTTGTCTCGGAGCTCTCGCTTTTGAGCTCCATTGAGGTTAGATAGGTGGTTTTGCACGATTCTTGCTAGGAATGAGAAGATAGTGTTGGAGGAAAGTTCTTAAATGGAGAGCATTGTTTGTTAAATGAAAGAAGTGTCATGTGTTTAGCTCTCTAGTACCCCCTCAAAAAAAGAGAAAAAGAAAGAAAGAGCAAAAATAAATAAAAGAAATAAACAAAGAGGTAATTAAACAGAGTAAATAAAAGTAGAGTGTGGCCACAAGTTTAGCTCTCTAGTACCCCCTAAAAAAAAGAGAAAAAGAAAGAAAAGAAATGAAAAAGAGGTAATTAAACAGGGTAAATAAAAGTAGAGTGTGACCATAGAACCTTGGGTTTTAGGTTGAAGATGTAGGACCTCATGCCATGTTTGCCACCACCCAAAAAACTTTTCCCCATGTCCAAGACAATTGCCGGACATTTGAACCTGTGTCTAAGACCTCCGGACAAGCTAGTTATGACAACCGATCCATGAACCCTAGCATTTAGAGGTTGCCACCATCGCGGAGAGACGATAGGGCTGAGTGTTGATGATTGTGCACATATTTTGCACCAAAAAGGTCATGACCCCACTGGTTGAGAGTGAGTGATTCATTCTTGTTTTGCATGTTCATATCTTACCCCGTTGAGGACCTATGTTGCCCCGTTTTTTGTTCCTTGGACTTGAGTTCTATGATTGGTTAGTTGTGGTTGGTGAGTAGTCCGATCGAAAATTTCAATGATTTGTGAACAGGGTGAGAACTATTCAGTTCGCATTCTTGATGCAATCGAATGTCATTTGTGATGGATGCCGGTATTGCTTGAGGCGGTTCTTGTGTTGATGCCCAATAGTCCTTGAAATTCACCGGTTTGTGCCTTTTAACTTGTCCCAAAGTTATCTTGTTAGGTTGAGATATCACGTAGGTTGAAAATGGTTTGCTTGGGGATAAGCAAATGTCTAAGTGTGGGGGAGTGATTCGGGCTCATTTGTACACTTTTAGCCCACGATTTGCTTAGTCGTTTGAAGCATTTTTACTCTGGGAGGTTTGGTTTTATGCCGGGTTTTGCTTTGTTTTGGTGTTTTTCAGACTTTGGCAGGTGGAACCAACCCCGGAGGCGAAAGTTAGACGAAAGGGCAAATAATCAAGTAAAAGGGTGGAAGGAGCAGCATATCATGGTTTGGGTTGTGTGTTCACGGTCACTAAGACCGTGAACTGGAGGAGCTACCCGTGAACAGCCAGGCATCCATAGCACAAATCGCTTTCAGTGGACACAAGTCAGTTCACGGACGTAAAACCGTGAAATCACGCCATTGCCCGTGAACTGGACTTAGTGATGTAGTGCGTTTCGACTTGAGATCACGGTCCGGGCTTTCAGTTAATGACCGCGAACTGGACGGTGATCTGAGCCCGATCTGGGTATATAATGGAGGTTGGGCTGAAGGGAAAAAGGGGAGAGACCTAGTATGAGAAACTTCTTCTTCTTCAGATTTCTAGAGTGAGAAAGTGACGAACCAAAGAAGAGGAGAAGCTAGGGTTTCATCTTCAAGCAAGGATTTTGGAATTCCTCCCCCGAAGGAAGATCTCTTCAACAGAAGGAGCAAGGCTAGCATCTCATTGATGGTTTTCCTTATTCTCTCTTGTGTTTTCCCATCTCCTATGTTGGATTAGTCCCTTCTTTCACGTGGGTGTTTGTAAACCCTAGCTACAATTATATGAATGCTTGTATGGATTGAATGATTTGTGTGTGCTTGTGTTTAATGTGAATGTGGAGGTGTATTCATGAATGATTGTGTTGTGTGAAAGCCTGTCAATCTAATTGCCATTCTAACCTAGGTAGAGAAAAAATCCCCTTCCTTTTTTGAAAGAGGCTTGAGTGATGAGTTTTCTTAGGCAATTCATTGTCTCCTATCTAGGTTAATGTAGGGCAAACCTCTTATTTCATATTAGCACCTAGGCTTTGGTTTTGGGTGGTCATCCGAACACCGATTCGAGGGTGAAGTCTAACCAACCCTTAGTCAATACGTCGAGAGAGTCACGTTAGTGGCTTGGATCAAATTCCCTTATCTCGACATAGAGACCAAGAGAGTTGCGCTTGGAAACTTTTTGCACTTCCCTACGGTTTACAACCCCCTCACCACACACGATCATTCGATCCATCGAGTCGTAATTGTTAGCTAGGGGGAGCAACACACGGGGTGAAGCATTCTCAATTAGTGTCAAATCCATTTACATTTGCAAACGCTTTAGCTATAGATCGTTGTTTTCACCAATAATCATCCGCTGGATAATGTTACAAACAATCAAAGTAGGGATACATAGACCGGCCTGAGTCCATATTTAAACATACTTGCCCTATACTGCACCCATTTAAGGTTTATACTTGGGCCTTAATTGGGAGTTTTATTGTGGTATTCGGGACAAGTCAAACCTATAACTAGGGTTCATCTACCCTAAACAACCATTAGAGATTCAAGTCGTTAGAGAGAAGAAGAAAATACAAACTAGAAGAGGGAAATGATGGAATCAAGCTTCTTCTCCTTACTTGCACCTCCTCCTTACTCCTTGGGTTGATTGGATCGTCAATGGAGCTCTCCCAAGGTGTTTCTCTCTCTAAAGCACTACAAAACCTTAATTTTCTCACCCAAGGTGGCTCTCCTTTGAAAAGTGCTGCAAGAGGGGCATTTATAGAAAGCTGGTGACGGTCAAGGCCTCTAGGCCGTGACCTGATGGTCATGGCCGTGACCATGACCGCGATCCGGGTGAGGAAACTCTTTGCCTTCTTCTTGGTTTCCTGTTGGGGATCATGGCCACTGATCGCGTCCATGATCACAAGCCATGATCATCGTCACGGCCTAGTCAAGGGTAGTGACCTGTGGCCGTGACCAGTGCTTTCTCTCCCCTTTTTGCTTCTATGCTTCCCAATCGTGCCCGTATGAACTCCAATCGATTCCAGATCAATCCCAAATGAATATAAGACCTGGAATTTCATCACAAACATTTGGTAAAGCATAAAATACCAAAAATTAGGGTCGGTTCCCCTATGAAAACCTTCATATCAAGAATACCTATGACAAAATGGATGTTTTGCAAATAGGAACGAAAATGGGCATAAATAACTCGATATGTGCCCTAGACACGGTGATTTAGCATGCAAATGCCTTGAGAATAGAGGCTAGATAACACCTATTTTAGCAGTTATCAAAACGTGTGAGAGAATGAACACACTTAGATCTAAAGAGGCTACCATTACTTAAATAAAGACGGGCAAGATGGCGGGATATGGAACCTAAGATCGGGACCGCGATATTTAGCCTCATAACCATGCAAGTTATTGTAAGAGGTTAGCACGTAACAACTATCCCATCATAGGCCAAGTTTAACCTAGAATGACATTGTCGTGTAGTGGTAATTAAGGTCGTATTCTACTCGGGTCCTGGTACCCTAGCCTACTTCCCACCTAGTTGCTAATTAGTTAATCGGTTTTTGAGGTTTTGAGTGGAGGATATGAGGAAACACTAGTCTAGAGATTAATCAAAGCTAAAAGCAGGTACTTCTGAGAATTATCCCTCCCCCTAGCTTAGGGTTACTATGTATATCTAGATAGTTAGGGTCATCGAATGTGGCGAGTGAGCTCTTTTTTGTGGGATTTCGTGGTTATCCACAAGCCTCCAAGTACGCCTCCCCTAAAACCATATTCCAGTAACCTCGATCTAGGCTATCGTATCTGGGGAATTAAGTTTATGGCTCATTTCAATGGACACTATCCACCGTCCAATCCGAGGTTGCATCCTGGGTTTCATCTAGTAAAGCTACCTATAGCAGGGGTTCGGTCGCCTCGACCACTATAGGCCCCCATTCACAAATCTAACCTAAACTCGCCAAATGGCGCATACCTGTCTAACCCTAGAATTCCATACCCAACGCGGTAGCATAAAATAGGCTAAGAGGGAATATAAGGGCGACTTACCCAAACATCATCATTAGGAAAGAGTGGCATTAAATCAACTAGATAAACACATTCATTCATTCAAACCCTAAATATCCATATATACATAGTAAACCCTAAAAATAGGGTTTGAGGTTTAGAACCTCTAGTACCTTAGAGGACTACTCCATAAAGGAGGGAGAAAGCTACATTGTATAAATAGAAGAAGACTTCGGGTTGGAGAAGATGCCTCCTTGCTCCTAGCTCCACCTTCTTCTCCTTCCTTCAGCTTCTATCTCTTTTCTATCATATTCCACCCACCTGGTCAAGTGATGGTTGCCGAAGTGCAATAGCGGTCAGAAATGGCAACTTGAACTAGCCTCTCTAGTTATTAACTAACTTGACCCATACCCGGAAATTAAAGAATGGATAGAGTTCACAGTCTCTAGCTTCAAACCTCCCATATAAGGGCCCAACAATTCAGTAACTTCTTAAAATATTTCGATACTAAGAATCCACCGACCATGTTTGGTGCATCTTAATTAGCGCCTCATGCCCCATAGATTTATCTGTTGATCCATACCTTCTCCATAATTCCCCTTGTAAGTTTTCCCACATCATTACTCTCTCGAACTTGGTGAATTGTTCTTCTAGCCACATGATCCACTAACCCGCATCTCCGAGCATGTTTATGAGACCACCACCACCTAATACTCTTCCATGACATATTGATATTTAAAATACTTCTCAACCTAAGAGATCCGCCCCAATGGCTCTTCTTGACCAGTAAATATGGGAAATTCGAGGAGAGCGATGCGAGATTTGAACATAACATGCTTGGCATCCCATTAGTAACCTTTGTGCCTCCATGGTCACCAGCATTCCTCCTTGCCAATTCCCACCTTGATTTCCAAGAGAATGGGCCAACTCATGATGAACGTTGCTCGACCCTGCCTAGTTGTGATGGAAACATGAACTTTTGCATAATTTGGTAGTTTTGTCAGTTTATTATTTATTATGAGTTATTGGATATTATCGGGGGGATTATTTGTGGGTTTTAATAGTTAGGGTAGCATTAGGTAATTAGCGGATTATATAAATAGTTGTTAATTGGGCATTACCCCACTAGACCGAAGAAATCATAGCAAGCAAACGATGGTATCGGTGCTAGATATTCAGTTGAAATATGTAAAAGCATCGATCACTTTCAGAATATACAATCTATGATCGTAAATATACACTGCCATCTATCACTAATTTAAGAAAAATAAAATTATTTGATTTTTAAACAATCGTGAAAAATACAAAGGTTCAAATACAAGGAAAACTTTTTTGGTATAGAAGGCTAGGCTTAGACGCACCGCACCTACAGAGCATACTAATAATTCCCTGATTTGGAGCATTTTGGGAAATAATCATAAGTATTCCAAAAACAAACGAGCCAATCATGATTAAACTACTAAGTCATTATTAGTCTTATAGCATCCCACCAATAAATCATAAGATGAAAAAATAAGTAGGTACTCTAAGATCATTTTCATTCATTTTTAGTGAAAGCCGAACAAATGTTCAACCCATTATTTAGAGGGAGAGAGTTGTGGTGATGTGAATTATGAGGAGGGGAGGGTGGGTCTTTATAGGGAAGAAGGAGTAGTTGTGGCAGGAGGCGGCGAACAGATCGTGTTCATCAAAAGTGATCAAGAGTTGACCACGTGACAGCTCAGTGATCCATGCCTTCCCCATAGCTTTCCCTGAGTTCCACGTCAGTGATCCAGGTTGCCATCTCTAACCAATCGCATCGCACGGAATCGGTAAATGAGGATTGCGTCCCCCAAACGCAATCTTAAGGTCAATTGCGAGTAATGCCAGTGATCCGGGCAGATCACAGTTCCCTAAAGAGACTAAATGTAAATATTGGGCCAAGACAAGAAGCAGCTCAGGCCGCCCACGAGTCCAACTGCCAATGCAACCATGCACTTGACGTGGTCTCCAAGTCCCAAACGGAACCACCTCGTATTTCACATGTAACCCAAGATGATTGTAAACTAGGGTATTTAAGGAGTTTTAAGAAATGATGCCACTATCATCAATAATAAACAGTAGCAGCTTTCCCGTGGACGTAAGCCTCACCAAGGGTGAGGAAGAACCACGTTAAATGGTTCTCCTTAAATTTTCATACTATTTATCATTGTATCAGTGCAGAGGTCTTAGGTTGACCTTTATCAGCCTTCAATCATGGTTAACAGCGACACCGCCGATGTCAAGAGTCAGCCTCACGATGGCACCAGCACTTCGCCCCCGAACTCCCTCCTTGCTTGGAGAGGTATTAACATCTTCCAATTACGGTCAATGGGTTCTGGATATGAAGGACACTCTTGTGGCAAAAAAATAAAAATCAAATTCTTTAATGTCAATTTAATCAAACCAACTAATCCTGTGGAGAAGGATGCTTGGATTCGCTGTGATGCGATGGTAAAAGGATGGCTGAAGACTTGGATGGATAAAGAAATTCGAAGTAGCATCAGGTTCGCCCAAAACGCAGGGATATTTGGTCTGATCTACGTGAGCGTTCTGGCCAAGGAAGCTATCCCGTGCTTACGAACTACACCGTCTGATCACTCTTCTTCAGCAAGAGAAGCGCTCTGTGTCATCCTTCTACACTCTCTTGCGATCCTTATGGGAGGAAGCTTCATCTATTGCGCCCTTCCCTCACTGCATTTGCGGCAAGTGCATGTGTAACGTGACCAAACGCGTACGAGAGCCGCATGAAGGATCGAGACTAGTGGATTTCCTGATGGGTCTTGACGAGGTTACTTTTGGTGGCGTACAAATACATGTATTGGCCATGAAGCCGGCTCCTAGCTTATCTGAAGCATTTAACATAATTCTCAATGCAGAGCATCAGAAGTTGATTTCACAGAACCGTAAGATCCAACCCGAAGCCGCAACTATTGTGGCGCAAGGTGAAGCAGAACGAACAGATCGTGCCGATAGGTCTTGAGGTACGGGGGAGCAAAGAGAGAAAGCTCGTTGCACTCACTGCCTAAAACAAGGACACGTTAGAGAAACATGTTATGAACTGATCGGGTACCCACCCAGAGACAAGCCAAACGATCGGCAGAATCGTCGGCCTCGAAACCCGATCGATGAAACAAGTGAGGAACATCGTTGGGAACCTCGGGCATCCCAATTCGATTCTGATCACAGCCGTGTGGCTTGTTTTTCAGTAGCCCATCTGAATCAACTTAAGCAGTTCTTCGGCCTTGGAGATAAAATGGGAGAGGAGCATGATCCAGTAGCTCACATGGCAGGTATTATCTCTAACGATACTAAGTGGTTGTTTGATTCGGGTAATGAGTACATTACTATGGATGAGTCATTATTAGATGAAAATGAAGCTCATGTTAATGTTCAACCAGTTCGAATTTTGAACGCTGAAAGTATTCTGGTAAAGAATGTTGGTTCTGTGACTCTTTGAACTGGATTTTGTTTAAGCCGAGTTCTACATATGCCCGAATTTCAGTGTAACTTGATTTCTTTGAGTAGACTGACTAAGGATAATCAAATGGCTTTGATTTTCCTTGATGTTTTTGCGTAATTCAGGACTTACACTACAAGAAATTGATTGGGAAGGGTGAGCTACATGACGGTCTTTATTACCTACATTTGTTTGGAGCTAGAACAAACGCAGGCATGTACAGTTCAGAGAAGAAACTTGGCGATGGAGGTGGACTAGCATTCACGGCTAGGAGATCCATCACCGGAGAAGCAGGCTTATGTTAGTCGTTTGTTATCTTTTTCTATGTCAAATAAAAGCCCCTGTCATTCTTGTTCGTGGGCAAAACAGTCACGTCTCCCTTTTCAGTCTAGCACTATTAAGACGGCAACAAGGTTTTACCTGATTCATGTGGATCTCTGGGGTGATTACACAATTGTATCTTTAAGTGGTGCTCATTATTGTCTAACAATTATGGACGACTTTACTCATTGTGTTTGGGTTTATCTATTAAGTTATAAATCAGAAGTAGAGGGTCACTTGTTGCAGTTTTGTCAAATAGTGCGTACGCATTTTAGAGCATCTGTCCCCACCTTCACCCAAAAATGTTGCAAAGAATATTCCTGAGGCTAACATGAATCATCCGAAGCAAGAAGGTGACAAGCCAGCTGTAACACCTTAGGCAAATCCCACATCGACAAAGCACGGGAGAGATCCATGGTTCATAAGTAGGAAACCGGCCTTAACTGACAAGACGCGTTTTGGGGTGTAATGGAGGAGTTCTTGTGAGAACTCCGAAGTTAAACGTGCTCTGTGTGGAGTACAACAAGGATAGGTGACCTTATGGGAAGTCACCTTGAATTGCACCCCAAGTCAAAAACCGTGAGGGTCGAGGCCCAAAGCGGACAATATCTTGCTCAGAAAAAGGTTCGGAATGTTACAAGTGGTATCAGAGCCTCTCCGCGTCCCTCTTGAACGATGGTGGGGCAAACATCAACGAGGACGTTGAGTCCCAAGGGGGGTTGGGTTGTATGTAACACCTTAGGAAAATCCCACATCGACAAAGCACGGGATAGATCCATGGTTCATAAGTAGGAAACCGGCCTTAACTGACAAGACACGTTTTGGGGTGTAATAAAGTTCTTGTGAGAACTCCGAAGTTAAACGTGCTCAGTGTGGAGTACAACAAGGATGGGTGACCTTATGGGAAGTCACCTTGAATTGCACCCCAAGTCGAAAACCGTGAGGGTCGAGGCCCAAAGAGGACAATATCTTCGTCGGGAAAAGGTTCGGGATGTTACACCAGCTGCCAGGAACACAGCCCCAGTCATTTAAGCCACAAATGAAGGCTCAACTGGAAGCATCCAATGCTTCAAGTTCTTTGGCCGAGGTTACAAGGCTAACCAGTGCCCAACAAGAAGACTCTTGTCTTACGAGATGGGAGTACTTTTCTGAGGAGTATGAAGAGAATCTCATGGGAAATGGATTCAGCTCTGATGCTGATTCTGAAGATGACGAATTGGATGAGCACATGGAACCATCCAATGCTTCAAGTGCTTTGACCAAGGTCACAAGTCTAACCAGTGCCCCAACAATAAGACTCTTGTCTTGCGAGATGGTGAGTACTTTTCTGAAGAGCATGAAGAGAATCCCATGGGAAATGGATTCGGATCTGATGATGATTCTAAAGATGACGATGTGGATGAGCACATCAAGGCTGAGAAAAATCCAACATGTAAACTTCTTGGAGTGAACCGTTTAGCTTTATCTATTGAAGCTTACATAAAGACGGATCAGAGGATAATCTTTTCTATTCTCATTTCCTGGTCGACGGGAAGGTGTTATCCATGGTGATCAATGGTGGTAGCTGCACCCATTTGATTAGCCTGGATGCCGTCAAGAAGCTGGGGTTGAGCACCATCAAGCATCCTCAACCATACACTTTGAATTGGCTAAACAACTATGGGAACATCAAAGTCAACAAGAAGGCCAAGGTTTGTTTTCAAATCGGTGATTATGCAGATGAGATTTGGTGTGATGTTGCCCCAATGCAAACTGCTCATATCTTATTTGGGTCGTCCGTGGCAATACAATCGAGAAGTCATTCATGATGGAAGACACAACAACTACCGGTTCAAGAAAGGCGAACAAATGTTTCTGCTGAATCCATTGTCAACAGCTTAAGTCTGGGAAGATCAATAGCAATTGGCCATGAACTGGGCTAAGGAGAAAGGAAGTTCAAGTTGTTCGAATCACAGGACGGGAGTGGAGCGCATCTGATGGTTCAAAGGAACATGTTGACTGCATGGAAGAGAAGTTCATTTGGGAATATTGTTGATGTGGTCTCTGGCAGGATAACACCAGCTTTGAGAGCAAAGCTTCTCCAACGGAGAGGGACTGATACGGCCCCAACAGCAGTGGAAGAAGGGTTGGCAGAGGGGGAATACCCGGCCAAGGCTACTAAATACCAGACCGGGTACTTTGCAGCGGCCTGCCGTCTTGGGCAGAAGGCCCCAGTCGTCGAGGCTAATTACCCAACCGGGTAATTTTACCTGGGTGACGAGAATTCGTATGTTTAAGCTGTTTTTGTTATTTTTAATTGTCCATACCTATTTAAAGGCTGAATCTTGGGTTTTAGGGTTAGTTTTTAGCATAATATTAATTTTTACCTTGGTTTTGAGCTTGAGGCTTGAACTTTTCTCTATATCAATCAAGGTTTCCCTTATAGTGGTCGAGAGTCTACCTTTCTATATTGATTGAGCCTTCTCCCGATTTGTGTTGAGATTACACTTTCAATTCCATCCAATCCCAAACAAACAAAACCCCCTAAACATTTATTTTCCTATTCGTTTTTGGAGTTGTGTACTTTGATAACTACGGGTATAGGGTCCGTGCTCATATCAGTCCGCCATAGTTATCGGCAACGATTTCGTCCCAAGCATCTCCTATGTCACCAATTTTCCTTCCGACAAGACTCGGGGAAGTACAAGTAATTTTGTGCAATATCCCTTGGCTGTGTGTGTTAGTTATGATGGCTTCAAACCTCACTTTTGTGCTTTCCTTGCACCCATTACTCGTTGGCGATTCGAGATCCTCGTTGGTGGGAAGCGATCGCAGCGAAATGGGTGTATAGAATCAAGTACTTTTCCGACAGAAGTATCGAGCGGTACAAGGATTGACTTGTAGCTAAGGGTTATAGTCAGATAGAAGGCCTAGATTTTCACGACACATTTGCACCGGTAGCCAAGCATGTTACTGTCTGGTGCCTCATTGCAGTTGCAGTTTGCGGAGGTTGGCATCTTCATTAGCTGGATGTCAACAACGTCTTTCTCCATGGCAAACTAGATGAAGAAGTATACATGGAGATTCCATAAGGTTTTCGTACTCCACGTGACACATGAGTTTGTCGACTAAATAAATCTCTTTATGGTCTCCTGCAAGCGTCGAGGAATTGGTACCATAAATTTATTGCTGCTTTGACAGTGTATGGTTTTCTTTCCTCCCCTGCCGATGCTTCACTTTTCATCTATCTCTACGGCTCTGTGTTTGTCGCAACAATCATCTACGTTGACGACGTCAAATTGATAGGCAATGATCTTCCTTTTATCAACCGAATCAGAGGGTTCCTTGATGACTGTTACTGGAGTGGTTCTAAGTTAGCGCAAGTACGTCCTCGATATTCTTGAGGACACTGATGCTCAAGGGTGTCGACCTAGTGATTTTCCTATTGAACAGAATCACAAGTTGACTCGTCCAGGGAAAGACAAACTTGTAGATCCTTCCCTTTATCGACTGTTAGTTGGCCGGTTGCTCTATTTGACCATTACTCGGCCTGATATCACATATGCCATAAATATTCTCAGTCAACATGTGCACTCGCCTAGTCCAGCACACTTGGATGCTACTTTTCGTGTACTCAGGTACCTCAAGGTATCTCCAGCTCAAGGATTGTTCTTCCCCTACGAGAATCCCTTACGTCTCACTGCAAATTGTGACACCGACTGAGGCGGATGTCAGAGCACTCTCCGTTCCATGACCGGATACTTCATTAGTCTTGGGAGTGCTCCTATATCTTGGCGTACCAAGAAACAACGCGTGGTGGCTCATTCGTCCGCAGAAGCAAAATATCGTGCCATGGCTAGCATGGTGAGTGAGATTTTATGGCTCCGATGGTTACTACAGCAGTTGGGCGTGACTCAGCACGGTGCCACTCCTCTTCATTATGAAAACTCAGCACGGTGCTAACAATCCCGTCTTCCACGAGCGGACCAAACATGTGGTGATGGATGGTTTGATGCTGCTTTTCGTGTACTCGGGTACCTAAAGGTATCTCCAGGTCAAGGATTGTTCTTCCCCTACGACAATCCCTTATGTCTCACCGCAAATTGTGACGCCAACTGAGGCAGATGTCAGAGCACTCGCCGTTCCACGATAGGGTACTTCATTAGTCTTGGCAGTGCCCCCATCTTGTCGCGTACCAAGAAACAACGGGTGGTGGCTCGTTCCTCTAGCAGAAGCAGAATATCGTGCTATGGCTAGCACGGTGAGTGAGATTTTATGGTTCCGGTGGTTACTGCAGGATTTGGGCGTGACTCAGCACGGTGCCAATAATTTTCATTGTGCAACCAAACGGCCTTGGATATAGCCAACAATTCCTTCTTCCACGAGCGGACCAAACATGTGGAGATGGATTGTCATTTCGTCCGTGAACGTGTTTAGTCCGGCCAGATTTTTCCTGTGAAGGTCCACACGGATTTACAGCTCGCACATATTCTCACCAAAGGGCTTTGGCTGCTCGCTTTCATTTTTTACTCTCCAAGCTGTCAGTATTGGGCCGAGACAAGAAGCAGCCCATGCACTTGACGTGGTTCAAGTCCTAAACGGAACCACCTCGTATTTCACATGTAACCCTAGATGATTGTGAATTAGGGTATTTAATGAGTTGTAAGACTTTATGTCGCTATTATCAATAACAAACAGTAGCAGCATTCCCGTGGTCGTAAGCCTCACCAAGGGCGAGGAAGAACCACGTTAAACGAGTCTCCTTTACTTTCCGTAGTATTTATTAGTAAATCGTTTTTCTCGCCAGCAATGTTGTTTTCTTAATGATCCGAAACAGCTCCAAGCTGAAAGCACCACCAAAGAGAGATTCAGAGTGATACGTACATGTACAGGACATGTTTCGTGACTTGGTAATGGGCTCTCATAGAGTTGCAAGGAGAGCCTTTCTCTGGCCAACTAAGTTGGATGAACTTTACACGAAATCAAAACATAACCAAGATATCTTCTGCAATTGTGAGAATCAGATGGATTACGTGGAAGGTTGAGATTACAAATTCACTCATAGAGTTGGTCTCCAATATGTCAATCACCACAAAATCGATCACGAACACGAACACCCGATTTATGTGGTTTCCTCAACGTAGAACGTTGAGACCAGTCCACGGCACAAGGCAGAGAGTTTTTGTATTAGGTTTCGTACAACTTACATAATTAGGGCGGCCATATCAACATATATATACTAACCGGCCTAATAACCCTATGGTTAATTACAAATCATTACATTAACTTCTAACGCCCTCCCTCAAATTGATGATGCTGACGCAACATCAATTTGTGTGCTAGAAACCAATGACGGGCGGATGAAACCGCCTTAGTCAACAAATCCGTCGTCTGATCTTCTGTAGTAATGTAAGCAAGCTCCACAGTACCTTCAGTCACCAACTGCCGAATATAATGAATATATACCTCGATGTGCTTCGTCCGATCATGTAGAACAGGATTGGTCACGATGCGAATCACACTAGTATTATCAACGTGCAATCTCACTGGTCTTCGCACTACCACCCCAAGTTCGGCTAAGAGCCGACTAAGCCAAGTAATATCAGATGCCACTTCACTCATAGATCGATACTCCGCCTCAGTAGAAGATTTTGAAACCCTATCATGTTTCTTGCACCGCCATGATATGAAAGAGGAACCTATCTTCACACACCACCCCGAAGTGGAACGTCGAGTATCCAGGCAACCAGCATAGTCTGCATCAGCATACACTTCAAGAACAGGTTCGCCCCTGTTGGAAATAACAACCTGACATTAGTAGTACCCTTAAGATAACGCAGAATCCGTTGAACCACCAACCAATGCGTGGAA